GAGGCCCAGCCATGTGTTTGAATGGAAGTTCCACTCCTGCTATCCACAAAGCAGAGACCCAGGAGAGATCAACCTGAGCCAGGTGTCCCATCCGTGTGGGCAGGGGGAGGGGGGAGAGACAGACAGACAGAGACAGAGACAGACAGACGGGTCCCCTGGGAATGCAAGACCCCCAAGAAGCCAGGGGTTGAGCGTGACAGAGATGGCTGGAGTAGACTTGGGGCCGTGGCCTAGCATGGGCTGTGCTGCCCTGGGCTCCCCCTGCTACAGACAGAGAGGGAAAGCTCCCTGACCTGGGCCTCACCGTGGCCAAATCTGGCTCAGATTTGGAAGGAGAGCTTCAAACTCTTCTGGTTCTTCAAACAGAGATAATAAGGCTGGGAAGGTGGCTCAGTGGTAGAGTGCTTTGCCTAGCATGCATGAAGCCCGGGGTTCGATTCCTCAGCACCACATACACAGAAAAAGCCAGAAGTGGTGCTGTGGCTCAAGCAGTAGAGCACCAGCCTTGAGCAAAAGAAGCTCAGGGACAGAGCCCAGGCTCTGAGTTCAAGCCCTAGGACTGGTAAAACAGAGGGGGGGGTGGTAATAAATCCAGGTCTGGGCAGCACGTGCCTGTAATCCCAGACACTGGGAAAGCAAAGTCTGGGAGATCTTCAGGTTCAAGGGCAGTCTAGGCAAACTTAGTGAGAACTTACCTAAAAAGCAAATTCGAACTCAGTGCCTGAAGGTTTTGCTCACTGACCAGTGCTCTACCAACTGAACCTTGTCTCCAACCCCCTGAAATTGTTTTAAAGGGCTGAGACAGAGATCCTAGCTTAATTCTGCCCTCGGGTTCTGGTATATAAATCTAATAGCTTTGAATATTTGATCCAGCTCACAATGGGAGAGCATTCATCTAGCAAGCTCAAGGCTTTAGGTTCAGTCCCCACCAGAATAGATAGATAGATAGATTGATTGATTGATTGGTAATTGATTGATAGATGAGAGATAAGTGATAGATGATAGTGATAGATGATAGATGAAAATAGAGATTTACAGCTGATATATAATAAATATAGTTACAAGAAAGATATATGATAGACTGATTAACAGACAATTGATAGATATATGATAGTCTGAGTCACTGATAGGTTGATTGGTGGATGATAGAGTGATGGATAGATGAGAGATAGAGATTGACCGATGATATATAATAAATGATAGATAAAATAAATGATAGACATATGATAGATTGATTGGTAGGTGATAAAGTGATTGCTAGAGATTGAGAGATGATAGATAATAATTGATAGATAAGATAAATGATAGACATAAGATCAATTGATTGGTAGATGATAGATAGAGATAGAGACAGAAAGATGAGATAGAGAGTTAGATAGATAGATAGATAGATAGATGGATAGATAGATAGATGGATAGATAGATAGCTCTGAGAAGCATCGGGCTGGTTGAGCTTCAGTGACCCCTTGGGAATGGGGTTCCTGGGATCGGAGGTTCTCTGGGGAACCTGGGAATTTCCCGTGAGAATCCTGTCCATCTCTGCATCTCAGATCGGGCCTTTCCCCGGCATCTCCCCTCCAACCAGAGTGGGGCCAGCTAAGTCTCCAGGGGCCAGATGGCCATGCCAGGAGGTATGGAGACGAACCCCAGGACAACACAAACTGCTCCTTTCTTGTATCTCATTTCTTTTGACACGTTACCCGACAAGCAGTGTGGAAATGCTACACTGCAACACCTCCCAACCAGGAGAAAGAGAAAAACCAAACCAAACCAGTACGGCTGATGGGGGGGGGGGGACAGGACACGGAGCGGAGCCCTTCGAAGCCTTTCATTCTCCCCCCTTTGGGCATAACTGGTGTCATCCCAGGTGGCTCCAGGGTGCCTGGCCTGCGGTGGCGTGGATCACCAGCGGGCCAGCCCCTCTCTACCCACTTTCCTCCAAACCCCACTCTGCTGCTTTGAAACTAGGCTGGGACTTCATCTTGTCCTGAAATCCTTCCTTTCTGGGGATTTCTGCTTCCGGTTCCCCAAGCCTTCAAGTCTTCCCTCTTTAATTCAGAATGCATCCACCTCCGTGGTATCCCTCCATCTCCACAATCTAAGGGTGGCTCAGTGGTAGAGTGCTCACCTAGCATGCATGAAGCCCTGGGGTCCATTCCTCAGTACCACATACACAGAAAAAGCCAGAAGTGGCGCTGTGGCTCAAGTGGTAGAGTGCTAGCCTTAAGCAAAAGAAGGTCAGGGACAGCATCCAGGCCCTGAGTTCAAGCCCCAGGACTGGCAAAAAAAAAAAGAGGTATCTCGTTCATTGTTGGGCCCCAGCATCTATGCTTTAACTGCCAGAGGCTCAAAGGATGTCCTGCCAGATTGCTAAATGGATACTTTGTTAATAATTATCTTTCTTAATGAACTGCTGTGATTCCTTAATCAAATCAATTTACAAAACCCAACATTGTCACTTTTTTCCTAGACTGCTAGGAAGCTCCAAGCTAAATGGTATGCTGAATCCCAATGACATTCTCCTTTTTTTTTTTTGACCTGTTTTGATTTCATTTTTTTCTCCCTTCAATATGACTTTGTTTGCTTTTCCAATTTCCTGCCCCTGTTTTCTTATTTTTATGAATACTGCAAACAACAAAAAAACTCCACAAAATATTGGTCAAGAATTAATATGTGTTGGGCATGAATGTGCGCAAAGAGAAACAAACCTTTCCCCTTTGTGCAATGGCTCTACATTTACCAAAGAAACTCAAATGGACAGACAATAGAGCCCGTGTTGGCGCATGCCTGTAATCCATGCATGCAACCCAATGTCACAGATAAGAGGATCATGGTCTGAGATCAGCCAGGGCAAAAGTGTGATACCCTATCTGAAAAACAAACTAAAGCAAAATAGGCCAGGGTCCTGGCTCAAGTGGTAAGAGTGCTTGTCTGGCAAGCAGAGAAGCCCTGGGTCAATCCTCATGACCACCAACATCAATTAATTAATAATAAATAGAAGCTCTAGAGCTGGGGGTAGAGCCCAGTGTGTCCGGTGTTTACCTAGCACCTGTGAAGCCCAGCACTGCAACATAAAATTACAAAAAGAAAACTTAAATATGTAGAACTCTGGCTGAGAATCTACCACAACAAATCCAGACAACCAGCCATTATCTACGATAACCAGGCCTCTGGGATCTGGCTGCTATGCAGACACCGGAGATTGGAGAAATCCATGCACTGTAACCAGAAGCCAGACCAAATCAATGCCACGACTCACTGGAGAGCTGGTGCAGTTCCAGCGTATAACCAGCAGGTGGCAGCAAAGACCACAACTTCCTTTTGCACAGGCCCCTTGTAGTTTCCCTGGCCTCGAACCTGCCACTTGACCCCCGCAGGAGACCGATGAGCCACCCCTCTCCCCACTGGGCCTGCAGAGCAGGTGTTGGCAGGAGAGAAGAATTGTCTCAGGAGCAGGTGGTTCCCGGGTCGGTTCCCAGGTGCTCCTCACCCCTCGGACCCTCAGGCTGGTTTTCATGTATGCTGCGTGTGCCTCAGTTTCCCCATCACTTCTGGGCATGGCTTCTCTCCGTGGTTGTCACAGGGCTGCTGTGCACTTCACAGGCCTCTCGCTCCTCTGTGGTCCAGCAGCTCAGCCAGCAAAGGCCAGGATCCTGCAGTCACCGCCCCTCCCTGGCTCCGTACACTTCCAGTCAGCCTGTGGCTGACTGCTGACACCTCCAATGGTGCAGGCGCCAAGTTAGCCCCGTGGTGTCCTCTGCAACCCAGGCCCAAGACCCGGAGTCTCCCCACATCTGGTGTCTGCTGGACAGGAACAGGGTCACAGCAACTCTCCCTGATGGCCCTGGAAGCGGCCATCCCCTGGCCTGGGACACTGGCCCATAGACAGGAGCCTGGGCGCTAGCCAGACAGCCCAGCAGCTGTCCATCACGGCCCTCGGGGGCTCTTCCCGCCTCCTCACACCATTTCCGCTCTCCCCGCCCACCCCCCACCCCCATGGGGACGTCCCGGGGCCTGGAGGGACACAAGGGCCCAACCCACCCAGGAACAGCAAGGCGGGGTGTATCTTTGTCTCTGGGGCCTTAGCAGCACACCTAAGAGCAGGACCCCCCACCCCCACCCCCGCCCCGGCCCCCACCCCCCACAGAGGAAGTCCAGGGCCCCAGCAGCCTCAGAGCAGCTCCTAGGGGATGGACTGCTGCCCTTGCAGTAAGGCGTGGCCTAGTTTAGTGCTGTGCCTCCAGCACCCACCAGCCAGCCTCTCTGATCCTCCTACGCAAGAGAACAAATCCAGAGGAGACGCTGAGTTAGGGGCTGTGACCTTCCAGACACATGACTGATTAAGTTGTTGTTATTGATTTCCGGTGTTGTGAGTTCCACAGTCCCTTGGCCTCTTCTGACCCACACAGACGCACGCACAGGCACATACATGGACATCGACGTGCACACACGCACACACACGGGCACAAGCAGGCACACGCATGGATGGATGGATGGATGGATATTTGCACACACACAGGCACAAGCATATACACACATGGATGGATGCGCATTTGCACACACACATGGGCACAAGCATGCACACACATGGATGGATGCATATTTGCACACACACGGGCACAAGCATATACACACATGAATGGGTGCGCATTTGCACACACACATGGGCACAAGCATGCACACGCATGGGTGGATGTGCATTTGCACACACATGGACACAAGCATGCACACATGTGGATGGATGGATGCATATTTGCACACACACACGGGCACATGAACGCACACCTGCACACACACATGCACACACAGCACACTGCGCAGACCCAACATCAGGAAGACAGCCCCGCGGGGCCCAGCTCTGTCCCCAGGGCTCCCCTGAGCCTCTGCCCCCCCCACCAGCCTCTGAGGAGGAAGAGGTGGCAGCCAGCGCCTCTAGGCCAGGCCCTTGTCCTGGGGGAGGTTGCAGGCCCCGGCCTCGGCATCTTCTTCTCGGGGGCGGCTCAGATGGGCTGGTCCTGCCCGGGCCGCGGGCCGAGTGCGCGCGCGGCCGCCAGGAAAGCCGCCCCGGTGAGCAGCTGGGAGGCGAAGCTGACCCAGCCCAGGGCCAGCGACCAGCCGAAGCGGATGTCCACGCGGTCCAGCAGCGCCTGCTCCTGCAGCAGGCACCGTGCAGCGCGGAAGGCGGCCGCAGAGTAGGCAATGTACACACTCATCCCGGCCAGGGTCACCAGCGCTGTGGGCAACGGGCCCAGTGAGGGAGGACGCTCGGGCCGGCCCCTGGCGAGACTCCAGGAGGGACCGGCACCAGGGCCCTCAGGGCGGGGGGGGCCCCCTGGGCAGACTAGAACAGGGCTGTGTGGCCTCTGACCTCCCCGCTCCTCAGGGCCCCTCCCGGCCACCCCCTGCACCATGCACCTGGCTGGTCCAGAAAATTCTGGAGCCACTTCAGCTCTAATATATAATAAATATGAAGTCTGCTCATGCCCCTCCCAGAGGTTCCATGTGGGGGGCATTTGTGGCGGGGGGGGGCGTCTCATGTGTGTGTGTCGGTCCTGGGGTTTGAACTCAGGGCCTGGGCGCTGTCCTGGAGCTGCCCACTAGGGCTGGACACACACACAGGTTCCCAAAGTCTCTGGCCAGCCAAACCAACCAAACTCACCCCGCCAGCGTCCGCCCTGCCTGGTGCTCCCGCTCATTGGTCGTGGTGTGCATGTGTTGTGGTTGGAGGGTTGGTTGGAGATGGGGGTCTTGCTATGTTACCCCGTCAGCCTCCAGCCTGAGCTCAGCCTCCTGAGCTCTGGGATCACAGGCATGTTCTACCATGCCTGGCTAAATTGCACACCCTTTGACCACAGCATCTGGATGGTAACTAACACCCACCCTCCCAAGCACCTGTGGCTGCCTTCTCAGTCTGGCTGGTTCAGATTCCTGGTCTTAGTGAGATGGGAGTGGGTGTCTGTCTGTCTGTCTGTCTATGTGGGGGTCTTTCCTGTCTCCCAGGTGCTCATCCGAATGGCTGACAGGCAGGAGAATTGCAGGTGCACTGGGAGATGCTGAACAACTTAATCCTCCTGTGCCTTTGCCAGATCATATCGCAGATGGAGAAACTGAGTCCCGGGGGGGGATTCATGGACAGCACCCACCCGGTGTGGGAGCATGGGGCCCGCAGGGCGGACATACCTCCAAAGAGGAAGAGCATCCCGGAGAGCAGCAGCAGGAGGTAGGCGCGGAGCAGGAAGCTCAGGAAACCCATCATCCCACCAAAAACCATCAGGATCAGGCTGAGCGGCAGCAGGATGACGAACGTCCCGTGCATGGCTAGGGGGAGGGAGATAGACAGACAGACAGACAGAAACAAACGTGTCAAAGAGCACAGGCCTTATACACGATGAGGGGCCACACTCTGATTACTTCTGTTGGTGGTGGTGGTGGTGGTGGGGCTTGAACTCTGGGCCTGGGCGCTGTCCCTCAGCTCTTCAGCTCAAGGAAAGCGCTCTACCACTTGAGCCACCGCGCCACTTCCAGTTTTCTGGTGGTTTGTTGGAGATAAGAGTCTCACGGTATCCAGGCTGGCTTTGAATCACAATCCTCAGATCTCAGCCTCCTTAGCTAGGATGTCAGGCGTGAGCCGCCGGTGCCCAGCTGTCTAATTACTTTTGTGATCATTGGAAGTAGCAGTGATAAGCCAGGGGCTGGTGGCTCACACCTGTGATGCTAGCTACTCAGGGGGCTGAGATCTGAGGATGGAGGCTCGAAGCCAGCCCAGCAGAAAAGTCTGTGAGACTCTATTTCCAATTAACTACAAAAAAAAAAAAGTTGGGCTGGGAAGGTGGCTTTCATGGTAGATCGCTTGCCTAGCATGCATGAAGCCCTGGGTTCCATTCCTCAGTACCACATACACAGAAAAAGCCAAAAGGGGCGCTGTGGCTCAAGTGGTAGAGCACTAGCCTTGAGCAAAAAGAAGTTCAGGGACAGTGCCCAGGCCCTGAGTTCAAGCCCCAGGACTTAAAAAAAAAAAATCCAGAAATGCAGTTGTGGCTCAAGGGGCAGAATGCTATCCGTGAGCAAAAAAGCTCAAGAACAATGCCCAGGCCCTAAATCCAAGCTCCAGGACTACTGGCATGCATGCACACACACACACACACACACACACACACGCAGAGCCCCTCACCCCCCAGGGCCAGTGCGGCATTTGGGGACAGCATCCACCCTGTCACCTGGGCTGCCTACCAGACCACTGCACGACACAGGAATGTATTTGTCAGCACAAGGGGGCGCCACACACGGAAGCTTTCTGGTTGACCCAGGAAGCAGATCCTCCCTGGGTTACAGGAAGCTCAGAGTGGTCGTAGGGATGGGTGGAAGGCAGTCGCAGACCTCACGCTGCGTCTGCCCGCCCTGCTAACAAACACACACACACACAGAGGAGGGGCTGTGGCACCACTTTTCCCCTCATTTGCCAAGTATTTGCAGGGGGTTTAGCATGAGCTGTAGACGCTGAGCCTCTTTAAGTCCTTGTGCAGCAGGATAAACATGAGAATGGATGCTCTCTTCTCCTCCTTCAAGGCTAACCAAACCTTCGTTTCTCCTGGAAACGGTCTGTGCATGCCACATCCACCCAGCTGGGTGCCACCACTAGCCACTCAATGCCCCTAAGTTCCTGTCGCTGTCTCCTGACACTGAAGGTGTCTGCCACCTTCTTACCTCCCAGGCCAGGAGTTCCTCAAGAGGGGGGCTGTCTCCTCATGAACTGTCGCTTCCCCGAGCTTCTGTCCGAGATCTTGAAATATAGTGAGTAGCCAATTGGTTATTTGTGGACCTTCAATTGGATGGATGGATGGATGGATGGATGGATGTGTAGGTGGGTGGGTAGGTGGGTGGGTGGACAGATGGATGGATAGATGGGTGGATGAGTGAATGTGTGGGTGGATAGATGGGTGAATGGATGGATAGATGGGTGGGTGATGGATGGATAGATGGATGGATGGGTGGATAGAAAGATGTGTGGATGGGTGAATGGGTGAATAAATGGATGGATGGATGGATGAATAGATAGATTGTAGGTGGGTGGGTGGATGGGTGGACAGATGGATGGATAAATGGGTGGATGAATGAATAGATGAGTGAATGTGTGGGAGGATAGATGGGTGAATGGATGGATAGATGGGTGGATGGATAGATGGGTGGGTGATAGATGGATGGATGGGTGGGTAGAAAGATGTGTGACTGGGTGACTGGGTGAATAAGTGGATGGATGGATGGATGGATGGATGGATGGATGGATGGATGGATGGATGGATGGATCTTGAGCTACATTATGTGGCTATACGGCAGAAAAATATGGCAGTTTCTGGGAAAATAGGGACGAATGAATCTGGACAGCAGGTGGGATGTTCAGTATCATGGTCCTGGCTCTACAGCTAGGTGTGGATGTGGCACCAACGTGTCCCACAGGGACTCACACATTGGCGTCCAATCCCCACTGTGAGGCATTTTTAAAAAATAAGGAAACTGCCAGGCACTGATGGCTCATGCTTGTCATCCTAGCGACTCAGGAGGCTGAGATCTGAGGATCACGGTTCAAAGCCAGCCCAGAAAGAAAGTCCATGAGACTCTTATCTCCAGTGAACCACCAGAGAACTGGAAGTGGAGCTGTGTCTCGAAGTGGTAGAGAGCTAGCCTTGCGCAAAAGAGCTCAGGGACGGCACCCAGGCCCTGAGTTCAAGCCCCACAACCAACAAAAAAAAGAAACTTAATGTGGCAATTGTTTGGATGGGACCTTTGGCGTGGCTGGGATTAGGTGATATCACAGGGCAGAGCCAGATAATAGAATCCAGGTGGATGTGTTAGAAGAGAGGAATCTGGGCATGCGTGCATGCCTGAAATCCTAGCTGCATGGGAGGCCGAGACAGGAGGAACGAGAACCAAGGTCAGACCAGGCAAAGTCACAAGATCCTGTCTGCAAAACACCTGGATGCAGAGGGCTGACTCCAGCCCTCTGAGCCTCTAGAGCTCCAGCCTGGGGGGTGGAAGCTCCAGAGGTCAAAGTGAAGAAGAGGAAGGGGAGGAAGAGGAAGAGGAGGGAGATGAAAAGGAATAAGAGGAGGGGGAGGACGATGGAAAAAGAGGAGGAGGAAGAAGAGGATACAGAGAAGGAAAAGAAAAGGGGGTGAAGAAGGAAGAGGAGGAGGAGAGGGAGGAAAGAGAAGAGGCAGGAGATGGAGGAGGAGAAAGAGGAAGAAGGAGAAGGAGGGAGAAGAGGAGGTAGAGGAGGAAGAGGAGGGAAAAGAGGAAGAAGAAACCCCAGTAATTAACATGCTGAGGATGTGAGTCATGTGACTACATGACTTTGTCTTCAGCACCCCCGCAAGGTACCTTCATAACCTTGGCAAGCCACGGAAGGGATCCCCAACTCCTCCCAGGGCTGGCAGAGGAGCAGTCATGGGTGGGGGGGCTGTCTGAGTCCGTCCTCGCCCTCCTCCTTCCTTTCTTCCTAAGGAGATCCCTGGGATGGGGACTTGCAATGTGGGGGGCAAACTCTCCACCCCCCCAGCTCAGCATCTCCCTCTTCCCTCACCCCCCCCAAACACAGGCTGTGGCCAAGAGATGAAATCATTGCTCGTGTAGAAATTAATAAGATTTCCTGGAGGCGTCTCAGCCCTGGAGACCCCAGGCGCTGCAAACTGGCGCGGCGCACGTTCAATTAAATGTCGGGGTGAGCACAGGCTCCCCATGGGAGGGTTGTAAAACCTCCTGCTGGAATCCGGCTTGGCTGCGTGTCAGGTGCACACGCCTCATTCTTTGTTATTCGGTGTTCTTTTTCAGGGCTGTGGTCTTCGAACATGAATAGCGATTCTGCAGGGGGGGAGGGGCTTTTCCTACTTGGAAATGCACCCTGGTCCTACTTACACCTGTCTCCATCCATGTGCCCCCAAACATGTGGAGAGGAGGCTCCCTTTCGGGGTGAGGAGTTGATAATATGTCCCAAGAGGCTGACATGTTTGGGAGAGGGTTACTATGTCATGGGGGGGGCGGGGAATGGGAAGGGGTTGGGAGACCCCTTCAATCTGAGTCTCAGGCTGAGATGTCCAATTGCTGGGTGGTTTGAACCAACTACTGAAGCACTCTGAGCCTCATCACCAAATCAAGAAGAACTGAGCGCTGAGTACCTAGGATTTCATCAAGTCAACAGATGCGACTGAAGGCAGAACATTTGCCTAGCAGGTGCCACCCCCTGCGTCCAAACTCCAGAAACACCCAAAGTGATATTCAGCAGAGCTGCGACCCCACATCCACACCGAACACATGCCTGTGTGTATGAAGGGAACACGCCATATCTTACCATTCCAAACCACAACCCTTTGGAGCATCAACCACGCACAGGCATTAAGTGTCTACCTGGACCAGTTAGACATGTGCAGGACCACTCGAGACAAACCAGGATGCTGCTCACGCCATAGATTCTTTTTACAGATGACATACATATTCCTTAGAATGGACACATGCATAGAAATGTCTCTATCCAAAGCATGGAGGGTTTGCCTTGGGTTTCTGTTTTTACTGCAGTCTCCGGCTCCATTGCTTTTACACCTGGGGCAAAGAAGACACAGGGCAGAGGGAAGTGACAGTGGAAAGCTGCTTACTCGGGGCAGCCAGGAAGCAGAGAGGAGAGCGGTGGAGATGGGAGGGGAGGGAAAAGGAAGGGGGAAAGAAGGCTCTGAGGATGAGATGTTCCTTTCAAAGGCACATTTCCTGGGCTGGGAAGGTGACTCAGTGGTAGAGTGCTCGCCTAGCTTGCATCAAGCCCTGGGTTTGATTCTTCAATACCACATACACAGAAAAAGCCAGAAGTAGTGCTGTGGTTCAAGTGGTAGAGCACCAGCCTTGAGCAAAAGAAGCCCAAGGACAGTGTGCCCAGGCCCTGAGTTCAAGCTCCAGGACTGACCAAAAGAAAAAGAAAGAAAGCACACTTCCTTTGGCCTCCAGCCAAAGTTCCACTTCGACATCCCATTGGCTATAAACTCATCAATGGATTGACCCATTGATAAGGTAACGGTCATCTGCATAGAGCCATCAGCTGGGGCCAAGCATTTAACACATAGGCCAAACCATAAAGACCCACGGGCCTATACCTCCCTCCCTCCCTCCCTCACCCCTGCCTCCCCTCCATACCTACCGCCCAGTTCCCCATCTCGGTGCCTGACACCCCCCCCACTACCTCCTCTCTCCACGCTCTCCCAGCATCATGGGAGAGCTGGTTTTAATTTTCCACATGGCTGCAGCAGCCCAGTTACCCAGAAAGAAACCCAATCTTGTGATTTTACCCCCACCTCATCTCGCACAGGGAGGACAGCTCAGCCATGCCACCAGCCCCGGTGCACTTGTCACCAGAGGTTCCTGGCTGGCCTGGTGGGTCCCTGGCTCTCTAGGGTCATCCTGCCCTGCTTGGTGATCTCCCAACCATCAAAAGTCATTCTGGTCCAGGAAACAAAACCCCCACCTGCAGTGCAGACTGGAGGAAACCTCCATCTGTACCCTGGTTGACGCGGGTGGGAATGAGGGTACAAATGGACTTGGACGCAATGCACCGGCCCACCTTCAGGCTATGAGCTGGTGGAGCACCAGAAAGGAGGGTTTGGTGAAAGGTTTGCCTAGAGCCCTTAGTCCGAGGGAGATCGTGGCACACAACGGGGCGCCGAGGTGGTCTGTCTACTAGAGTTTTCTTGGAAGAAAAGAAAAAAAAATGCCCACCCATAATCCCCTGGTCTCGACCTCCCTCCCCCCCCCAATGATCTAAAGGGCTAATGAACATGTTTTCTCCTCCCTGATCTAAAGGACTAATGAACATGTTTTCTCCTCCCTGATCTAAAGGGCTAATGAACATGTTTTCTCCTCCCTGGATTCTGCAGCCAGAATGAAACGTATTTACCTAATGCAAGAGCTTGAACCAAATTCAGAAATTCATTTGGAGGAGGTGGAAGTAATTCTGGGCAGGGGGAAAAAAAATCTCTCTCCAGGGGTGATTTACAAGGAGCCCCAGATCGGAAGGGGCAGCTCGCCCTGCTTCTAGGAAAAAGTGATGCTGACCGCATCAGCTCCCACTCCGGCTAGTGAGGTTCATGAAGGCCACTCTCGCCTTTCGCCCCCAAAATAACCTCAGAAGAAGGGGTGGCAGCCACCTCCATTCTGCCCACGAGGGAGACGAGGCTCAGAGAGGCGCAAGACCATGGTCGTCACCACCCAGCGAACCGGGAGGCTTAGACCTACAAATGAAGAGCCAAAGCGCAATTCTTCTGCACGCCTGTCAACATTCTAGAACAGCCCAGAGGGTGCAGACGCACGTTTCAAAATAAAGCCAGGCAGCCGGGTGTACAGTGGCCGTGCCTGGAATCCCAGGAAGATTATGAGTTCAAGGCCAGCCTGGGACTACGTGCAGGCCAGCGTGAGCCACATAGAAAGACCCTGTCCTCAACTAAAAGTCAGCTCAGTGGTAACTGTAGTTAACCATCAATTCTTCCATATGGGGGTGGGGGGTGGCTGAATGCCAGTACCAAGCCTGGCAAAGGGTCATGGGTTGACTACAGCTAGAAGAGTCAGGGATGGTTGGCTGGGGGAGAGTGACCGATGCCTAGGTACCAACTGTGACGATCAGTGTTCTTCCGCCAAGCTCCATCAACAAGGTAGGGGCACCATGAGCTCTATTTTCCTTCGGCACATTTTCATTACCCTTCATGGAATCCTAGCCACATGGTTCTGACATCTCATTCTACCTGTCAGAAGCTGAGCCTCTCCCCTCACAAGAACCAGTTAAGATGCTAGGAGAACCAGGTACCCCCATGTTAACAGCTTGACATGGGCCACCAAGAAGTATACATACCACAGGAATTGGCAAATGGTCTGGGCACTGTAGTACACACCTGTAATCCCAGTTACAAGGGAGGTGAAGGCAGGAAGATCATGAGACCCAGGCCGCCAATGGGGGGGAGGGGGCAAAGTTAAGGAGACCCTATCTCAAAGATAAAATATAAACAAGAGGGCGGCAGGGCGTAACTCAAATGACAGAGCATCTGCCAGGCATCTGTTTGGCCCCTTAGTTCAATCTTCCACCACAACAGAAAGAGAAGTTGACAGACAACAGAAAGAAACTGACAGACCCACGGGCTTATTAATTTTGTTTTGTTTTCATTTCCCGAGCCAGCTGCTATGTATTTCCCAGCCTACCACAGGACTTTCCTTAGTACAACATATACAGAAAAAGCCAGAAGTGGGCTGGGCACCAGTGGCTCACACCTGTCATCCTAGCTACTCAGGAGGCTGAGATCTGAGGATCCTGGTTCAAAGCCAGCCCAGGGCAGGAAAGTCCGTGAGACTCTTAGCTCCAATAAACCCCCAGAAAACCAGAAGTGGTGTTGTGGCTCAAATGGTGGAGCACTTGCCTTGAGCTGGAGAGCTAAGGTCCTGAGTTCAAGCCCCAGGACTGGCCAAAAAAAAGGAATGCCCTCTTTCCCTGTGTGCAATTGCTTCACTGAAGGAAAGCATTTTCCACACGCAAGTACACAACCCCTCTGCTTGGTTCTCGCATCCATCCTGGGTGCCAGGCACTGGGTTGGGGAACCCCCAGCCCCTCACAAACGCAGTTTGATGGAAGAGGAACCCACCTGCTCCTCACAATGAACTTCCTTCCACCCTGCTGGCCACCACGGTGGCCGCAAAACTGACACCCAGGGTCTCCTGCCAGGGTGAATCCCCCCCCCCCAGGTTGGTCTGCAATGCATCCATCTGTCAGCTGTTGGTTGAGTGAATTCTAAACCACACATGACAGGCGGAGCAGGGCAGGCCCCCCTCCCTCCTTTGCTCCCTCTCCCAACTCCAGACTTAACCCCACACCCCTCGGCTCCCCTCCCCCGGGGTCGGAGGTCACCCCCGTACCCCCCCCCTCTGCGGGGAGGAGCGCTCCAGGAGGACGGGGTCCGCGGCCCCCACCAGGGCCCTCCCTCCCAGGACTCACTGAGGAGCTGTCGGCTGGAGTCGCTGACCGTCACGTTCCCTGGCCAGAAGGGGTTCATCAGCGGTGTGCACGCTGGGGTCTGCACTGGACAGGACGGGGAGTCAACGGCCCGCGATCGCCTGGGGCCCGCGATCGCCTGGGGCCCGCGATCGCCTGGGGCCCGCGATCGCCTGGGGCCCGCGATCGCCTGGGGTCCGCGATCGCCTGGGGCCCGCGATCGCCCCACCGGAGCCGGGAGAGGAGTGGGGGCCGGGCCCGGGCACCCCCCCCGCCGGACTCACCCTCCCTCTGCACCCCTCGATGTTGCGTCTGGGGCCCGGACGGGGCGCAAGTCACAGGTGCCCCCGGCGCCGGGCCCCGTGCGCGCGCGGCGTGCTCACCCCGGCAGGTCCGCCAGAGGCCCGAGTGGGAGCTCAGGGGCTCGAGCCGCCCGCGGTCCTCGCTCTCCAGCCGCTCGGTGTCGATGATGTACCAGAAGTCCGTGCCGATGGCGGTGGCCAGCAGCACGAAGCTGAGCGCCCCGGTCACCGCCGCCGCGCCCGCCAGCGCGCCCAGGTGCACCCGCATGGCTG